AAAAAAAAAGACAAATTTAAAAATTAAAAAAGGCTGAGGATGTAGCTCAGTGCAAATGACCTAAATTCAATCCCCAATATGGGGGTGGGGAATAAAGGGTGAGAAGTACGGTCCTTATCTAGAGGACTTGGCCAGTATCACAAGTAGGCCTAGTGGTAAGGGATGGCCCACTGGGTTTGCTGTCTAGCCCTGACCAGCTCTTCCTGCCGTGCTCCAGGGCCTACTGGGTCCCACCTGCCTGGTCCCTGGCCAAGGTGCAATGTAGCCCAATGTAGAGGCAGCAGTGTGGGTACCAGGGTTGCTTGCTGCTACTAGGCTGGATGTTATTCCTAGACCTTTCTAGTTGTCCTAAAGTTTTGGGACTTTGGGATCAGTCTGTTAGTGGAAACTTAAAAAGTAAGATTTCGAAGCGGTCACAAAGTCTAGGAAGGAGGGAGAGAAAAAGTCAAGTCACCTGGAGAGAGAAGAGAGATGGAGACAGGCCCTGAGTCTGCAGGCCCCAGCTGGAAACAGCAGTTCTGGAAGCCTGCCAGCCTTGTTGCTTCTGCTTTTTTTTTGTCTTTTTGAGACAGGGTCTCGCTATGCAGTTCAGGCTGGCTTTCAGCTCACTTTGTAGCCCAGGTTGGTCTCTAACTCTGCAATTATCTTCCTGCCTCGGCATCTGGAATGCTGGGGTTATAGGCATGTGCCACCATGCCCAGCTGCTTCTGCTTTTTTGAAATGCTGCTGCGTGCACCACCACCCCTGGTGACCCTATCTCATTTTTTCTATTTGCAACTTGAACACTGTCTTCTTTTTTTTTGAACCTGAACACTTTGTACCAGTCATGTCCTATCTACTATGTGGCTATGAGCCCCTGAGGGAAGAAAAGTATTGTTTTTTAGCATCTATATTTATCTCATTCACAGTAGTAAAGGTTGAATCCAGGGCCTTCACACTAATGTACATCCTCAGCCCTTTTTTTCTCTTTCCTTCTTCCTTTCTTTCAGAACAGGGTCTTGCTAAAATCACTAAATTTCCCAGCCTGGGTTCCAACTTTGAATGCCCTCTGCCTCAGTCTGAGCGCTGGGATGACAAGTGTGTGCCACCTGGCTGGGCCTCCAGCATCACTTTAGACATCATGGAGTTGAAGAACAGGGTGCACTGTGGCCCAGCTGCTCCTGCGCCACTTCCCCCCTCTTGGCAGCAGGGCACCATGGGGTCCTGAGTGGCCAGGAAGGATCCTGCACTCCTGAGGAAGGCAGGCCAAGTCCAGCTATGACTTCTGCACACCAGAGGCTTCAGGTCCCGGCAGAGCAAGAGACAGATCCCCAAAGCACCTGCAGACCCCAGCTCTCCAGGGACCTGTGCCCGGAGTTAGGGGTCTGGTTCTGGAGTCGTGAGTGGTTCTTAGGAGTGTTGATGGCCTCAGCGACAGGGAGCTATGGGACGCTTTAGACACACAGTGGATGCCTAGACTTAGGCAGCAAGGGGGGCAATGACGGGAGTAGGGAACTCGAGGCCAGCAACAGTGCAGTGAGGCTTGTGAGTTCTGCAGTTGTGGTACAGAGGACCCAACAGCTCTGGCAACTCCACTACACTCAGTACCTCAGCCCCACACAGCATCCTGGGAGCTGATCCTGTCTCCCAATCACTTTCTCCAGAACTGTTTCCACTGCTGAGTTTTGGACTAGGAGTTCCAGAGCAAGGAAGAGCCACACTCATTCATAAGGATCCTCATGCGTCAACCTCCAGAATCGCCTGCCTCTTGGTTTTGTAGTTGGATGTCCATGTGCTGAGATGTGCAGTCTAGTGCCCTTCTGGGGACAGGAACCCTGCGGTGCGCCCTCTCCTAGTGGCCCCAGTATGCTCCCCAGAGTAGAGCGTGAGGGGTCCTGGCCACGTCAGCATGGCCATCCAGTAAGGCAGGGTAGGACGGGGTGCTCTCGCTCCCTCGAGCCACAGCTCGCTCACACCCCCAGCTTGAGCTAGGGTGTGGCACTGTACTACGTTCACGGGAGATGGGCTCAGGGTCCTGGGGAGGTCGACCAGGTGGGACAGGTGCTTTGGGGCATCCTTGGCTTTTTCTCTCTCCTCCCTAGTTGAGTTCAGAAGCCTTTGAGGGTGCCCTGTTCCTGACAAAGGGAGAGGCTGGAGAGGGGCCCCAGCAGGGCAAGTCCCACCCATCACTGCAGGCAATAAGGCAAAGCCCTGCCACCTTGGAACACACGACAGGGGACACGGCCGCCAGGCTGTGTGCGCGCAGCTTCCAGGGTGCCGAGCGTCGGGTGGGGGCACCTGAGGTCGACATTGGGTCTTTTTAATACTTTTAATAATCTGATTGATCATGAAATGCACCGCTCACTTCTAGAAACAGCAAGAGACACGAGGCTTTCATACAAAAAAGTTTGTTGCTTATAAAACATATGCAAAAGAAAGCTTTAAAAAAAAAGACCGAAGGCAACATCCTTGCTATTTTTCTTTTCTACATTAGAAAAAAACCCTCATAACTAATGTTCATTTTATTCTCCTTAAAAAAAATACGCTTAGGCACGATTTGCTGATGGCTTTTGAAGAAGCCAGCTTTGCAGTGTCACCCTCCTCCGGAGTGATGTGTTCGAGTCCTCCACGACTTTATATACTTAAGGCATTTTTTTTTTTTCTGACAAAGTGTATATTTTGTCGGTTTCTGGTCTTGTTTATAACACCCCCCCAAAAAAAAGGAAAAAAATGCTCCTCCTAGCCTGGTCCCTGGGGCCAAGATGCAGTGCCAGGATACGTGGGGCCAGGGGCCAGCGGCCAGCTAGCGTGGGTGGAGGTGGTCACAACAGTAAGCCAGGTCGCCGAGACCCCTTTGTCCCCTTCAGGCTGGCCTCCGGGAGCCACGGGCTCTGGTTGGCTCCAGGCAGTTGTGTGTGTGGACCCCGGGGTGGGTCCACGGATGGAACCCAGGACCCTTCCGGCCACATCTGAACGCAGGGGTCCTGAAGCAAGACTGGTCCCTCGTCGCGTCCCTGTCACATGTGCCCGGTGGGATTGTGGGTGTCGCTGAGGCCCGGATGAGCAGCCGGAAGCACCATCTGTGGGTCCCCGACCACACCGGACACCTTCTCCTCTTCTCGTCGCTTCAGGCAGGCTGCTTTGGGGTTCAGGTTGCGCTCTGGGGGGAAGGGAGAGAGGCGTGGGGCTGGGTCCTTGGAATGGACCCGCCAGGGACGGGGTGCAAGGAGGGGAGAGGGCACTGCGCTTGGTGGAGCTGCTTCCATCCATGGGTCCTGTGGCCTCTGGGATGGCAGAGCCTGGGGCCACAGGGTGGGGGCATCCATCTGCGCTGGCCGGGGACCCTACCTCGCACCTGCTGCTCCAGGCCCAGGATGACCTGCACAGCCTGCTGCAGGATGAGCAGCTTGGTCTGCGCCTTGTCGGACTTGAGGTGCAGCTGACACATGCGCCCCAGCTCCCGGAAGGCCTCGTTAATGTCACGCACGCGCACCCGCTCCCGCGCGTTATTGGCCATGCGCCTCTCCCGGTCCCTCAGGTCCTTCTCCTCCAAGGACAGCACCTCTTCCGTACTGCTGGGTCACAGCACCGGGGCCTCCATTAGTCATGGGCGTGAAGGGGCATCCGCGGATGTCAGTGGAGGTGGCCGCGGATGTAGGTGACATTTGGGTGGGTGGCAGGGTAGGTGAGAGCTAGTGTTGGGTGCAGCGGTAGGAGGAATGGTGGGTGTGGGTGACAGCAGTGTTTGGTGTGCGGCTCCGTGGGGGACAAGAGCTGGTGGCAGCGTGGGGCATGATGGGTGCTGTTGGCTATGACACTGACCTTGGGGACCACCATACACTCTATCTGGAAATAGGCCCCCAGAGAACATGACCCCATGGCAGTGTGGTGTGTCTGCAAGGGCGGCACTTGCTCGGGAAGGGCTGTTGTCCCATGGAGACCCAGCCTGGCTGTTCCCACACCTCGGGTGAAGGGTGGGTGTGACCTCATGCGGGGCTCTGCACCTGCCTCTGCGGGACGACCTTCCCTCTCCAGAGCACCCTTGATGACTGAGCGGGCCGGGTGACAGCGCAAGGTGACCTGCCCTGCTGGAAGCAGCTGGGTCCCCAAAACCCGGATCCGAGGGGCCCGGGATGGTGAGCCAGGAAAACGAATCTGCTCCTTGGGGGCCTGGGCGGGAGCAGGGCTCCCGCCACCTTCCCGGACCTCACTATCAAGCCCGTAACTGGGACCCCTGCAGGACAGCGTGGGGTCACTGAGCATGAGGTGCCGGACTTGCCCTTTGGGGAACACGCAACAAGGGACCAGCCGTTCTCGGCCCCTCCTAGCTGCAGCTCTAGAGGGATAAAAGCCCTCGTTCCCCGGCCTTGGTTTCCCCTTGGGCAGAGCTGGAGCCCATCACCCACGGAGCCCACAGACCGGAGCCCGGCACCAAGGAGCACCGACCAGTTGCTCCACTTGCGCAGCCTGCCCTCCCGTACGGCCGGAGCCCAGGACAAGCGCGCAGACCAAACTGAGACCCCGAGGCCGGCTGTGTGGGTGCTATCCTTCCCCCCAGGCCTGGGGACCTGGGGGAGGGGCCCCGAGGAGCCTGGCAGCAAGTGCGAGGTGGGGGGCCGCCGTGCTAGCAGAGGCGGCGGCGGCGGCGGGGAGCGACAGGCAGAGAGGAGAGGAGGCGTGGGGATGCGGCGGGACACACGCCGCTCGGGCGACGCGGTCACCTGCGAGCCAGGGTGGCGGTGGCTGTGGGAGAGAAAAGTTAAGGGACGCGCAGGAGCGGATTAAGGAAGCAGCGGCCAGCAGGGAGGGGGAGCCAGTCACAGGGCGGGCCCTCACCGTCCATCCCCACCTGGCCCTGCGACACGGGCGGCACAGACCCTAGGGCGCATGCACAAGGCCCGACTTCCATCCCGGCACCGCAAAACAAAAACCGAAACAAAACAAAAGCCACTAGCAGATGGACAGACAGGGTGCAGGCAGGCTCGAGAGGCCTTGTGCTACATGCAGCCCAGGTGGTTTGGACAGCAGTTAGCGCCTCTGGGCTCTTGGGGGCGCTAGTGCCCAGGAAGCACGGGCAGGGGTCAGCGACCTGGGTGCTGGGATGCAGCTGGAGGCAAAGCCAGGCCCGCGGAGCCCACAGTTCAGTCCTCCCCAGACCAGAGGGTCGCTGAGGCCAGGCAGGGTGCAGGGCAGTCGGTCAGTGGGGGAAGGGTGGGTCTGTCCTCGGGAGGGAACACGCTTGGGGCGGAGGCCAGGGGCAGGGCGTGGTCAGTGCGAACGTGCGCGAGTGCGGTGGAGGGGAGGGCTGTCAGCGCGAGGGGCAGCCAGGGTCTGTGCGTGCGCGGGGGTGTGGCCAGTCGGGGCGGGGCCAGTCAGCGGGCGGCTCCAAAGCAGGGAGGCGAGCGGAACAGGGGGTGCGGACGCCGCCAGCGGCGCCCACTGACCTCGCACTTGCTGCTCGAGGCTCAGGATGACCGACACGGCCTGGTGCAGGATGAGCAGCTTGGTCTGGGGCTTCTCGCTGTTGAGGTGCAGCTGGCACATGCGCCCCAGCTCCTTAAAGGCCTCATTGATGTCCCGCACCCGCAGCCGCTCGCGGGCATTATTGGCCACCCGGCGCTCCTTCTCCCTCTCGGCCTTCTGCTCTGGGGGGAGAAGGTCGTCCTCGTCCTCGTCTGGGCTACGGGGGAGGGGAGCCAGGGGCCAGAGGAGACAGTGAGGCGGGGCGGCGGCTGGGGGCGGGGGCGCGGGGCGCGGGGCGCAGGGGGCTGGCACCTGGTCCGCGCTCGCGGGGCCTTCAGCTCCTTCTTTTCCTCCTCCGCGGGGTCAGTGGCTGCCGCGTTTTCCTCGTCCTCCTTCTCCTCTCGCTTGATCTCGCCCGCGCCCACCACGGCGCCCGCCCGGCCCAGGCCTGCAACAAGTCCTAGGTCAGGGGCTATGGCCTGGGACTCTCCTGCGGCCACAAGCCAGCCAGAGCATCCGGGTCTTTGCAGAAAGAAAAAACCCCAAAAGTGATCAACAAACTGACTTTCTATCTCTCCACATACGGGTACCAGTTAAAGAGTAAGAGCCTGGCAACATTATTATTTTGGCTGTGCTGCGACGGAAACCGGGACCTTTGCGCTGAGCTACAGTCCTGGTCCTTTTTACTTGTTTTGTGACAGGGTCTCATTATATAGTTCAAGCTGGCCTTGAACTCAATATGTAGCCCAGCCTGGGCTCAAATACACGTCGACCCTCCTGCCTCAGCCTGTGAGTGCTGGGACTCCGGCTCTCACCTATTTTTTGTTGGTACTGGGAATCGACCTCAGGGCCTCACGCCTGCCAGGCAGGCGCTGTGCTGCTGAGTTACATCCCCGGCCCTCACGTACTTCCACGCTCCCTGGGTTCAGTTCTCAGCACCACAAAAAAAAAAAAAAAAAAAAGCCACAGAAGAGAAGATATTCATCACTCATGTAAATAACAAAGGACTGGTCTCTAAAATATGCAAAGAACTCCTTCACATCGGTAAGAGAAAAGTAGATTCACAGAGAATCAGGGACAGCACCCCAAGGAAAATGTGCAGAACACACAGAAACCCTCATCACATCCAGAAACTGAAGAAATGCAAATTTGGACTACAACAAACAACTGTTTCAAGCCCGAAAGCTGGCAAACCGAGGGCCCAGCCATTCCCAAGCGCTGCTGCTGAGCATCTCCTCGGCACCGCCACTTCTAGCGCGGCTCTGGCGGGCACGCGGGCACCAGCGACCCCATACCTGCTGCGGAGAGCGCCTCCTACAGGTGACCTGGGGACGCGCACTGCACACAGCAGAGGGAAGCTGACCTCAGCCAGGACAAGCAGTGGTAGGCGGTGTACCCCGGAGACGCAGGCGGAAAACCGGCTGCAGTCACCTAAGAACTAGAAAGCACGGTCGGAGGACTCTCAGCCACACTGAATGCACCTCTCAGATGCCCTCAGCAAAATGCCAGCCATGGAACTAGCCCTGGGTGCAAGAGACAAGCAGTAGGCGAGGAAGGGGCCAGATGGCGCCTGTGCTGCAGGGCTAAGGCCAGAGGACCCTCTAGCACTGCTGACGTTGGGCCTGGGTCGTTCTGGGCACTTCAGGATGCCGGGCAGCACCTCGGACCTCCAACCCTCCGCACCAGGAGCTCCCTCCTCCTGACAGCCGCACGTCTCCAAGCAACTGCTACAGTGTCCTCCCCACAGCTACTGGAGAGCACCGGAGTCAGCTCCTCTGCCCACGGCCCTCCATGGCGTTCATCTCCCTCAGGGCCACAGCCAGTGTCCTCCCTGCAGCCTGCATGGCCCCGCAAGACCTGCCCATCCCCTCCCCACCTCCCCCTCTTCTCTTTCTGCTCCAGCCACATGGGTCTCAACATGCCAGCCTGTCCTGCCCCAGGGCCTTTGCACAGGCCATGCCCTCTGCCTGGGACTCCTTCCCGCTGGTACTGCCCATTCTCAGCCCTTCCCAACCTGTGCCGAATGTTCCCTTTTTCCCCCCCCCGGACACCACTGAAGCTAAGCGGCCCAATTCCCACACCCCCCCCATTTTAACAGGGCCTTCATATTGAGCTGCGCCCCCAGCCCTTTTTATTTTGACACAGGACCTCACTATGTCACTGAAATGCCCAGGCTGGCTCAAACTTGGTGATCCTGCCCCAGGTTTCCAGAGTGAAGGAATGACGGGTGCACCACCATGCCCAGCTTCTACTTCTGGAGCCCAGAACAGCACCAGCATCCAGCACCGCACATGCACCCACACCCATCCCGTACCCACAGTGAGCTGCATCATATAGAGTGAACGCATGGGCACGGCCCCCAAAGCTTATCGCTACGGCAGACGCCAGGCCTGCTGTCCCCCTGTACCCAACACGGTAAACAGCCACGGCTTCGCACCTCAGCTCCACCAGAGCCAGAGCCACCCTCCCACCCATGCTGTGCAGGAGCCGGTCCAGACCTGCCCCGCTGGGTCCCGGGTGCCTTGGCGTGGTCCCGCACCTCAGTTTCCCCAGCTGCAGCTCCAAGCCTGCAGGACCTGTGAGGGTCAAAGCTAGTGACGTGGGACTCACCACTGTAAGAGTCTGGTGGCCGCGCGAGGTCAGGCAAGGCACCAGGCTGGCTGGGCAGGGCCGCATGGCTGTGCAGAAGGCTGGCACTGCCCGCAAGGCCATCCTCAGAGTGGCCGCCCCCAACCTGCAGGAGGAAGGGCAGGGGGCACATATAGTAGCGACAAGGGTCCAGCCTCCAGCCACCCTCCCTGCTCTGCCCTGCCCTCCCTGCTGCTCACCAGGCCTGCGTGGCGCCCGCCTACTGGCATGGGGCCAGCAAAGCTCGAGGCCAGAGCGCCATGGCTGGGCAGCAGGCTGTGCATGTCGCCTGCTGTGCCCACGGCGTGGCTGCGGAGCACGTGGATCGCCTCGTCCAGGTGGTCCTCCATCTTGTTCTGCAGGTGGGGGGCAGGCGTGAGGGCCTGGGTGCAGGACCCACCACACAGCCCGGTCCGCACACAGCACATGGCCACTGCACCCTTCCTGACATTTTTAGGTTTTCAGAATGGTGTATCCTTAACTTGTCCAGGCTGGCCTCGTACTTGAACTTGGGATCCTCCTGCCTCAGGCTTCCAAGCAGCTGAGATCACAGGCATGTGCCACCTTTTCTAGTCATCCTGTCAAAGGCCACATGTCCCACGGCAACCCTGCTGGTCACAGGAACCTGAGGGTGCCCTCATGGGACACGGTGGACACAGCTGACCACCTTCAGCCTCAAGGCAGGCAGAGAAGCTCACCAGGCCATGGAGTCCCCCGTCGTAGCTGGGCGATAAGGCACCAGGGGCTCCTGCTCGGGGCCACTGCGACGTCCCTGGAAGCAACAGGAGGGGTGTGAGCGGAAGGGCTGCGGGCGCAGAAGCAGGGAGGGAGGCATCTGCGAGCAGCAGGGGATGGACCTGCGGTCCCCCAGCCTCCACCTCCAGTGCTGGGATGGTAGGTGTGGACCACCACGCCCGCCTGTACCCCGGAGCACTGTGAACCCACCGGCCCAGGCTCCGCCAGGATGGCACAGCATGAGAACAGCCATGGCCGCCTCCTCAAGAGCCTGGATGGCCCAGAGGACGTGAGCTCACTGCAGGACCCCAGGCTGCCCACTTACCAGTCAGGCCATGTGGGGAGCCCGCAGGCGTCGAGGGGGTGGGAGAGAAGTTACTGCTGGAGTGGTCTGGGGAGTAGATCTGCATGGGGACAGGGCAGGGTGGTGGTTAGGGTAGGGCTATGTGGTGGGTCACAGCCCTCCCCGGCCCCCAGGGCCCCTGCCTCACCGAGGCCAGGGCCTTCCCAAGGGCGTCCCCGGAGCTGCCGGCCGAGGTCCCACGGGAGCCTGTGGGTGGAGAGAGGTGAGGCCCAGCCTCTGCGGCTGCAGCAGGCCCAAACACCCGGGTGACAGGGCCCACTCCTGTACACAGCTGCCCGAGCCAGCGGTGGGCAGAGGTGCCCTGCCCCAGGTCTGGTGGCTGCTGGAACCTATGACATCTGCCTCCCTGGGATGAGGCACTGGGGACCACTGTGGGTCCTCAGGCGACAGCAGGGTGGGCCCAGTGCACACCCCGGCACCTACTCCCTCCATCCAGTGGTCCTGTACCTAGGAGGCTGTCGGCCCCAGTCACGGGCGGCGTGTGGCTGGGGACGCTGCCATAGGTGGCTCCAGGCCCCGAGAAGGCGGCCACAGCTGGGAGGGTACCATTTCCCTCGGCTCCGTGCAGCTGGTAGCCCTGCGCAGGCAGGGATTGGTCAGGAAGCGGGGACCATCAGAAAGACGGGGATCCCCCCAGCTGCCCTCCCACTCAGCCTACCATGCGCTCGGGCTGCTGGAGACCGCTGAATGCACTGCCACCCACGGCGCTGCTCGCACCAGGCGCCAGGGGTAGGGGGGACGAGGCACCGCCCAGCATGGGCCCGAAGCCCACCTGGCCTGGAGGGCTCCAAAGCTCTGCTGAGGGGTGCAGGCTGCCATCTGCCATGTAGAAGGGGGTGGGGTAGGCGCTGCCTGGGGTCTTGTCAGAGGAGTAGGCACCGTCCCTACCATAGTCGTCACCTGAGCTGGGGGGGTACACCTGCGGGCGAGCAGGGGTGCACTCAGGCAGGAGGCTGCGGCCAGCCCTCCTGCCTCATCCTCGCCCTGCCACCAAGTGACAGCTACCCAACCCACTTCCTGCCCCTCCCCTTCCCCTGTAAGACATCCCAAGTTTGCATACATCCCAGCCCCTGCCCCAGAGCCGGAGGTGCTGTTGGGCCTCCTTGAGTCCCTCTCCTCTTACTTTTCCATCCACTTCTTCCTGCCTCCTTCCCTTCAAAGTTCTAGCCTCTTGGCACCTGAGGGCTGAAACTGGCTTCTGCCCAGAACGGCTCTTCTTTCCTTCAGCAAACTCCTACTGACCCATCAAAGTCCCAGCTCTAACACTTTCTGCTCTCCTTTGTCATGCTGTTTCAGATCCTCCACTGTAAGTAAACTCCCGACCTTAAGCCCGGATCACACAGACTCGCGGTCTCGGGCAGGGCCCTGGAGAAATGCCTGAACATGGCTGACCAAGGCGGGTCAAAGGGCACCCCTGGTCAAAGGGCGTCTACTGCTGCCTGGAGTGCAGGGTGGGCTCAATAGAGGCCAGTGATGGGGTCCAGTTAATGCCAGTTGGCTGGCTGGTACAGCTGAAGGAGGCAGGGAGACAACAGGAATCTTGACAACTAGAGTCCCTAAAACAGCCTGGCTGTCACCCTGATCCTGACCAAGCACAAGGCAGGAATGGGGCAGGGACACGGCTCAACCTGGGGGAAGAGGGACAGCACAGTGTCCCCAGGGTGCCCTGCTGCTGAGCCCCCGCTCACACGGAGGACACAGGGTCAAGTATGGCGAGAGATGACGGCTGGACCTGACCTAGGCCGGGCTTCCCTGCTGCTCCTCAGGCCTGGACCAGGCCTTGGGGGACACGCTCCAGGCTGCTGTGCCCTCCACAGGGAGACCCCAGCCTTGGGGTCAAAGACGCACAGGGTCCCCTGGGCCCCCTACTCACCGAGGAAGGAAGACCGGGTGGGACCTTCCGGCCCTTCTTGGGCTGTGATTCTGCAGAAGAGGAGTTACCGTCGCTGTGGCTGCCCTCGCTGCCCACTGCTCTAGGCAGTCCCTGTGCTGCCCCCGGGAACCACGTGCCCGCCATGTGGCTCAGCTACTGGGGGCTCCCTTCATGGGCCCGGAAAACCCCATGAGGACAGGGCCACCCACGGTCACTCTAATGTCACACACCCGGCCCTATGCTTCATGGGATCTGTGCTTGCAAGGCCACCTGCCCAGTCCAACTGGTACCCTGAGCTGGCACTACAGCTCCCTTCCCCACCACTCAGGGACAGGCGCAGAGAGGCAGCGTGAGTCCCCGATGTCAAGGTCCTGCTGAGGTGGGATGAGGCCGGGCACAGCTGCTTTGTGCTGCTCCCACTGCAAACTGGGCACCCATGCAGGGCCCCTTGCGCTCGCCCACGGGGACTTCGCTGTTTAAACTGCTCCAGCAGCAACGCCCCTCAGCGGCACAAAGAGGCTACCAGACACCAGCCAGAGGACCCCATGTGTGGGAGAACATCTGTCTCTGAGTGACAGCGCCTTTGGCTTTGGGCTCAGGGGCACGGGGACCCGGAACCAGAGCCAGTGTCTGTGGCCACCACCAACATAACAAAGCTCCTGGGAACCTGACCCTGCAACGGCTCAGGGCTCCAGGGGACTTGGGGGCTGGGACTACCAGGAACCACCAGGTTCGGCCGTATCTGCTCTTCTTTGTCCCTCCCACCCGGGACTGGCCAGGGCCTTAAGGTAAGTGTGAGTGACAACTCTGTCCTGTTTCCTTGGCTACCAGGAAGAGACGCAGTGACGCCCGGCAGCCCCGTCCTACCTGCCACAGCCCACCCCACTTACCCAGGCCGCCGTCCGCGGCTCTCCGCCGGGGGTTGCTGGGGAACGAGGGGTAATACGCCGAGCTGCCCTTGACGCCCGAGGGTGACAGCGGCCCAGGGCTGCTCAGGGCCAGCTCTCCCGGCAGGAAGCCAGCCTAGGGGGAGGACAGGTCATGGGGGCACTGGGCTGGCCAGTTTGTCATGAAACCCACCACTGCAAAGCTCCGGGCCAGTCGGACGTCCCTCAGGGCCACCAGCCCAGCCAAGAGGGCAACTCTTTGGCCCGTCTGTGCGCTGCCTTTCATGACACCTGCCCTGTTCTGGGATCCAAGGCACTGCACAGCTCAGGCCATGCTGTCATCTCCGTGAGGACAACACAGAAACAGACAGGCCTGGTGGTGAGTGCCTGTCAGCCCAGCACAGTGGGAGGCTGAGGCAGGAAGATGGCAAGCTCCAGTCCGGCCCAGGCAACTGAGCAACTTAGAGACCTGTCTCATAATACAAAATGAAAAAGGGCTCAGGATGGACCTCGGTGCAAAAGCCCTGGGTTCAGTCCTCAGGTACAGCAAGTAGAAGGGAAGAAAAAAAAAAAAAACGAAGAAGGGAGGACCAGGAGGAGCAGAGCGGCTGGCAGTGCACTCACCTGTGTCAAGCCGCCAACACCCGCTTCTCTCCCGAAGGCAGCGTATGTGCCCCGCTCGCCACCCTTGCCTGGAGGGAGAGAAAAGGTCACCTGAGCAGACCCCAAGGGTGGTGCACACAGCAGGCCCTCAGTAAGAGCGGAAGATGGGAGCAGGGCCGATGCCGCAGGGCCCTGCCTGCCTGGGTGCCTCCTATTTACCTAGAGCCTGTGGGGGACGCCAGGGTCCCTGGGCCATCAGGAGACCAGCCCGACACAGAGCTGTCTGCAAACCTGAGCAGGGCAGCCCAATGCCGTCTGCCCTGGTCTCTCACAGCCATGCCTGCCCTCGCCCAGCCTGTTTCCTGTCCCAGGGATGGGTCTGGGGCCTCTGTCGGAGCCTGTGCTGTGCACGCAGTGACCCAGTGCTCGAGTCTCCATCCTACCAGCTCACTCCCCGCCCAGGGCCTGGGCAATGGGGCACCTCTGCTTTCTGGCCAGTGGTCACTCTGTGACCCAACATGCATCCCATGCTAAGCCACGAGCACCTTCCTGGAGGTGCTGATTCAAGCCAGTGGGCGAGAAGGGGCAGGCAAGGTGCGGGGCTGTGGGGGACGCTCTGTGCAGACAGACTTCTGTCACTGCAGGACGCCTGGATCCAGCCACACTTGACACGGGATCCTGAGGTTAATCGGTACCTGAGCTATTAGCCTCCTTTGGACTAAAACTGGGCACAGCAGGCTGTGGTGGTGCAGGCTGCAGTCCCAAGCCTCGGGAGGCTGAGCCAAGAGCATTGCTGCAAATTTGAGGGCAGCCTGGGCTATGTAGTGAGTTCAAGAGCTGTCTGAACTACATAGTGAGACCCTGTCCCAAAAATAAATACATAAATAAACCCCCAAATTTAGACAATTTAAAAGAAAAACTGGGCATTAAACTTAACAAAAAATGGTAAACAAGCCTTGTCAGGAGGGAGGAGCTGGAGAGCTAGATCCACTCACTTGAATAATGCTCAAACAAGGAACAAAACCCTCTTAGCTGCGCCCAGCACTCTGAGAAGCTGAGGCAGGAGGATCAAAAGTTTAAGCCACCCCCTCAAAAAAAGTTTAAGCCCAACCCCAGGTTCAATGGAACAGATTAAAAGATGCAGAAACAACTCCAGACATACTCAGCCACCTTATCTTTGACAAAGGTGCCAAACCCCTTCACTGGAAGAAAGATAGCCTCTTTAATAAATGGTGCTGGGCAAATTGGCTTTCCACATACTGAAGATTAAAATTAGACCTATATCCTTGCACTAAACTAAAATCGAAATGGATCAAAATCTAAATATTAAAACAGAAACATTAAATCTGCTGGAAGATAGAATAAGGTAAAACTCTTGAAGACATTCATGTAAGCGAAGACTTTATGAACAGAACCCTGATCACACAGGAACTACCACAAATAACAACTGGGGGCTGGGGATTTAGCTCAGCGGCAAAGCACCTGCCTGGCAAGCGCAAGGTTGTGAGTTCGATTCCTGGTACCGGAAGAAAAACAAAACAAAACAAACAAACAAATGACAACTGGGGTCTCATCTTATTAAAAAGCTTTTATACTGCCAGATCAACAACCAACAGTGTGAAGAGACAACCCAGAGTGTGGGAAAAAATATTTGCCAGCCATTCCTCAGACAAAAGATCCCTATCTAGAATATATAAAGAATCAAAAAAATCAGACTCCTCACATTCAAAAACCCAATCCTAAAATGGGTATCTAAGATGAACACGCTTCTCAGATGACGTACAAACAGAAATAAATATAGGAAAAACTTTCACCATGACTGGTTATTTGAGCAACGCGAATGAAAACAACACTGAGATTCCACCTCAGCCCAGAAAGTAGGGGGAACGTAAAGACAAAAAAAAGTGAGAGAAGGAGGAAAGAATGGAAACAAAGCCTTCGTAAATGAGGAGAGGAGAAGGGCTGAAGGGAGGGCTGGGCAATGGGAAAGAAATTAAGTTGTATCACCCACACGCACACATCTGCTATGATCAATGTGATCATTACATATACCTAAAGCGTACCAATAAAATCTGACAGGAAAAAAGAAACAAGAACCAGTGTACTTGAAAAAAAGAAGTTGGGGTGGGGATATAGCTCAGTGGCACAGCACCTGCCTGGCAAGCACAAGGTCATGAGTTCAATCCCTGGTACCGCAAAAAAAAAAAAAAAGAAAAAAAGAAGTTTAAGCCAAGCTTGGGCAATTTAACAAGATCCTGTCTCAAAATAAAAATTTAAAAAAAAAAAAAAAATCTAACTCCTAATTTAATTTGAAAGAATCAGAGTCCCAGAACGAGTACCGCTGGAGTCTGGCTTTTGCCACCGCGTCTTGCCCAGTGACATAAGGGTAGGTGGGACAAGAAGCTGCGCTCCCTGCAGCCACACACGCTCTCCCAGTACCCAGCCAGAGGACCAGGCAGGCCAGAGGCTGGGGCTGCCCCTCTCCATGGCTCCAGGGACCCTGCCTGCCCTGGGCAGGGCCCAGCATGGAGCAGGCAGCAGGACCAGCCCAGCACACAGCTGGGTTCAGGCTCTGCTGACCAGACGGCCATGGAGACTGCCACACGGGAGGTGCCTAGGGGCCCCCAGGCCAGCAGGAAGCCAGGCAGGAGCTGGGGGGAGGAATGGGCGGCGGAAGGGACGTGGCAGCCCCGGGTGCAAACACTTCCCTGGGTGACAGTGGCCTGTCAGAAATGGGCACAGAGCTCCCATGGGTGCCCAGCCGCGCCTGCCCCTCCCTCTTCCCATGCCACATGCTTCCCACTTTGACTGCCAGTGCTGGTTGGGCTTGGGCTGCCCCTCAGGGTCCCCTGGGCCTCAGCTTCCCCGACGATACAAAGTCCATGCCGAGGGGCTGGGGATTTAGCTCAGCGGCAAAAGCGCCTGCCTGGCAAGCGCAAGGTCGTGAGTTCGGTTCCTGGTACCGGAGAAAAACAAAAAAAAAAAACAAACAAAAAAAACCAAACAAACAAAGTCCATGCCGAGCACTGACGGCTAAGCCCAGCCGCGCATTCAGGGCTCCCGGCCTTGACCACATCAACCGGCAGGAGTTGGGGTCCTAGGGTCTCTGGCAGGAGGAATGGAGGCCCAGGCTCATCTGCCCATCTGTGAGATGCTGGGAGCCTCTGCAGGTGGGCTGGTGCGGGGGCGATGCTGGGGACCGCTAGGAAGGTCTGGGGGAACCTTGTCCCGTGGGAGGGAAACTGATGCTCAGACATGCATGGAGCTAGTCCTGCCTTGGCAAGATGGTGACCATCCAGGGGCCACAACCAGGTGCAAATGGGCTCCGCCTCGCAGAGCCAGACTCCAACCTGGGCGGCCAGATGCCTGAGCAGTGCCCACCCAGGAAGCAGGCAAGGCCCCACAAGCATGCGCACAGGAAGCCCAAGTCACAGGGAGCTGTGTTCACCCGTACAGGTATCCCCACGATGGCTGGCGCCCCAGGGCCGCAGGGCCAGCTGAGCCACACTCACCTCCAAGTCCGGATCCCAGGAAGGCGGGTGCTGAGATGCCACCATGTGAGTCACTGAAGTGGGCACTGTCGCTGTAGCTCTGGGGAGACAGCAGGGCAAGGGCTACTAGTGCCAGGCCCAGGACACTAACCTGGGTCTCAAGCCCAGAGCCCCCAGACACTGTTCCCTGACCACCACCCCCAATCACAGGAAGGGGAACCCACTCCTCACCCGGCTTGGGTCGAAAGAGGAATTGTTCTGGTCACTGGGGCCCCAGGAGCCTGAGGCGGACCGGTCCTCAAGACCTGCAGGGCAAAAGGAGCATCAGCAGCCACCCTTAGCCCTGTGAAGCCGTAGCCCAGCAAGCACCCAACCCAGCTGGTATGGACAGCACAGTCAGGAGCCAGGGTTCCAGACATCCCAGGTAGTATCTATAGGCCTGTAATTTGGTGATTTGCTCTCCAGCTTTCTTTGCTGGTGAACTCCTAACCATCTGTCAAAGTCTCAGCCTCTGTGCCCATTCTGAGGAAAGCCTTTATGCCTTTACTCTCATACTGGGATTCTTTTTTTTTGGTACCGGGAATAGAACTTAGGACCTTGTGCTTGCCAGGCAGGTGCTTGTGCCACTGAGCTATATCCCAGGCCATACTGGGATTCTTGCTCTGGCCTACCCTTGATCACACAGGGCTGGAGCATGTGTTTCAGACGCACTCTGTTGATCCTTTGAGAAAGGCTCACAGGGCCTCAAAGACTGGGTAATGAATAATGAACTCCAGTCCCTGGAAAGTGGGGTGTGTGGCTCCCTTCCAGTCAACCTACTGCTGCTGGCAGAGATGTAGGGCGGCCCTTAGGGCCCGTGGACTACCCACCCTTCCCACCTTTCGGTGTGGCTGGAGAGCAACAAAAGGAGAGCCCCGGTGGCTGTGCCCTGCCCTGTGGGGACAAGGTTTTCCCCAGGAGTAGGGCAGGCGGGTGGAGCCTTATCTCCCGGAGCAGGCACAGGCAGCAGCAGACCCCGCTGCTCCCCCACGGCAGGCCGCCTGGCTCCCTGTCGGGCCTCATCTCCCTTTGGGGCCCCAGAGTGCAGTTCTCTGCAGAGCAGGAGTGCGGTCCTGGGACCCCTCAGCCAGGCCCACGGTGTGCCTGGGTCCCCGCCTCACCATAAATGAGGTCACAAACAGACCCTGCTTCACAGGCCGGGGGTGTCTGCGTCCCAACCGGCAACCCAGGCTCCCCAAGCCCCTGGCCCAGCTCCCTCAGGGCCCAGTGCTCCCCGCCCACCCTCAAGTCTTTCAAACCTCGTTTTATTTCAGTGCCTTGTGTTAATCATTCTCCCAGGAGAATTGGTGTTTAATTGCTGTCTAATTTGCATAATTATGCATATTAATCTCTAAGTCTAGTGAATATTCATGTCTCATTTAGATTTTGCTTTCAAATCAAAAATTTCCAGCATGATTATGGGTGGGGGCTGGGAGCCTGCCTGGGAAAGCAGGGACTGGCAGGAGTGCCTGGAGTCTGCCTGGCATCTGTCGCCCAGTTTAGGAGTATCTGTATGGTGATCTTGGATCGCCCCCTTGGGCTCCTAGGGAGGCAGCGGCAGACTGGCTGGGTGACTCTCATGTCCTTTAAACACCTACCTACCCCTGGGCCGGGGATACAGCTCAGCAGCACAGCGCCTGCCTGGCAAGCACAAGGTCCGGAGTTCGGATTCCTGATACCAAAAATAAACAAATACCTGCCCACATCCCTCCCTGCTGGTGACAGCCCCCTTGGACAGCCAGGGACACAAGACGGTCTGTACTCTGGTGCAGCCATACCAGCGACATCTGCAGTGAGCTCTGGAGGGGCCACGACCCTTGGGCAAGGACGACCTAACTCCTTCTCACAACCATGCCCTAGGCCAGCCCTAGGGAGCCCTCGAGCCTGGCACTCCCCTGCTGTGCCCTTTGGCACACTCCTCAGTCAGCCCTCATCCTTCCCTTTCTAGAAGGGACAAAACTAGGAGCGCCTCCTCCACCAATCCAGATATTAAAATCCCCACTAATTAATTATGCATTTTAATAACCCACATGAATATTTATTACACCACCCTTCCTTGTACACTAATTAAAACATGTTAATAGAATAAGATGATCAGAGTTGGGTACCATTTTCCTGTGATTTTTTAAGTGCTGGAAGTCTGGGTAGCAGGGGTGGGGAAGACAGCTCAGAAAGTCACCCAGGGACCGGGCCTGAGGCCTGGCTCACACTGGAGACTGAGGTTCTGACTGGAGTCACAGGGGTTGGGAGGGCACAGAGCTGCCAACCGCCCAGGGAGCTGCAAAAATAACCTGTGGCAGCAGGGAGGCTCCCATGTCCCCTCAGGGTCACCTCCTCCTGCGTGACTCCTGGCTGGCCTGGGCCGATATTCCCTTCCTAAAGGAGGAAGTGGGCTTCAGAACCCCTCAGTAAATCCTAGTTCAGGCCAAGTGCCCAGGGATGGCAGATTCCAGACCAAGTCCACGCCACACATTCTTTTCCGTGAATAAGGTTTAATCAAGCTGAGCACAGTGATACACATGTCATCCCAGCATCCAAGAGGCTGAGGCAGGAGGATCAGCACTGGCTCAAACTCAGCCTGGGCCACTCAGCAAATTAGTAAGGCCCTGTCTCAAATTTCAAAATTAAAGAAAAAAGGGCTGGGGATGTGGCTCAGTGTTAAGACCCTGGGTTCCATTGCCAGTACTGCAAAAAGGAAAAAAAAGTTTTACTGGCACCTAGTCCACATGTTCACCGGGCGGTGGTGGAGCTGAGTCGCTGTGATGGACATCCTCAGCTACACAGATGAAATCACCACTCTCTGGCCCGTTAGAAGACAGGCTGCCTCGGCGCAGAGGACTGCAGTGCGCGATCAACAGACCTCAGTGCAGGACAGCAAGACACAGGGCAAGACGATGCAGGAAGCCCTCTCCCCGGGCTCGGTCCTGTCCGCTCCTCTCACCAACTCACTGCCTCAAAATGGTGGTTCACCAACAGCTACAGCCCTGGGTCAGGCACCTGGCAGCAGCCTCCGGTCAGGGCCCTGAGGATGTTGTGCCTGGGAAGCCTGCTGGGTCTTTCAGAAGCCAAACTTTCCCCTTCTGCTCCTAATCCCTCCATGGCTCCCAAGGCTCTCAGCAGAAAACCAAATTCCTCATCCCCTCTCTTCTCCCTCCGACACGAGAGCCAGCCCTGCCTGTACCAATGAGCTGCATCTCCAGCCCCTTTTTTAAAAAACTAAGACCAGGCCAGACATGGTGGTGTGGGTCTGTAATCCCAGCACTCAGGAAGCCGAGTCAGGAGGATTACTGCAAGTTTGAGGCCAGCGTGGGCTACACAGTGAGTTCAGTATCAGCCTGAACTACATAGCGAAACCCTGCCTAAAAAAGGGGGGGAAAAAAAAAAACAAACCGAGACAAGGTTGCTAAGTTGCCCAGGCTGGCTTTGGTTTTATGATCCTCAATCTTCTTGCCTCAGCCTCCCAGGTAGCTGGAATGACAGTCGTGTACCACCACAGCTAGCCCACATCTGCAGGTGCCTCATTTGAGGTGTCCGCCAAGCTAGGATGAGGAATATTCAGGAAAAATTCAATAGACCAAGGTACAAGGAGTCCTCCTAAGACGACTCCCATGCTGCAGAATGACGGGGCAGGTTCTGTGCAAACACCAGGCAATTCTACACAAGGGACTGGAGGCTCCCACAGACGTTGGTGTCCCCTGGGACCAATGCCCCATGAATAGAGGAGCAAGTAACAGTTATGACCACTACCATCACTGTGACACACCATGATCCCACCTAAAACACTAAACAGTGCTAGGCATGGTGGCAGATGGCTGTGTTCCCCACTATTCGGTAGGCTGAGGCAGGAGGATCACTGAGTTTAAGGCCAGCCTGGGCTCCTTAGTGGGTTCAAAGCCAGCCTGAACTTCGTAAGGAGACCCCACCTCAAAAAGTAAATAAATAAATAAATAAACCAACTTTCCACTTGAAACATGGAATTCATAAATTTCCAATAAAACTCAACTCCCAACATTTTAAAAAGCTACTTAAGTATCTACCATATACAGAAAACACATATTACTGATACCCATGGGATGTGGCTACCTGGGACCCAGAGGAAAATGTATAATCCTCAGCACCCCAATTACTAAATGAAAGAGAACAGAGTTTAAAAAAAAAAAACAAAAAAAACCCAGGGGCTGGGGATTTAGCTCAGTGGCACAGCGCCTGCCTGGCAAGTGCAAGGTCGTGAGTTCGATTCCCGGTACCGGAAAAATGCCAAAAAAAAAAAAAAAAGGTGTTCAATTTAAGCTTGGGTTCGGGGTGGAAAAAACCCTTAAGAGGAGGAAGGACTAAGATCAAAGTAGAAAAGGAAAAGCAGGCAGTCAATAGAAAAATATCGGTTCCCCAATCAGGCTGAGTCCTTGCAAGGAAAATCAATATAACAGATAAAGCAAGAGGCAGCGGCATCAAGGGCAAAGGGACAGAACGGGAAGGAAGCTGTGAGGACCAGGACACAGGCTCAGACGGTAGCGGGGACTTCACAGGTTAGGAGTTCTGTTTTAAATCGTGGCTAAAATGAACGAGCTTTGTTTGTTTCGTTCTTTGAACCAGGGTCTTGCTAAGTTGCTCAGGTTGGCCTCGAACTTGCAATCCTCCTGCCTCAACCTCCTGAGTAGCTGGGATGACAGGTGCACAGCACCATGCCTGGCACCTCTGCAGATGCTTCAAGGTGGTCGTGTGTGGGAGAAAGCATTTGTGGGAAGTGGGACGCGGCGCCTGGGGGTGCAGGGCAATGTTCACCAAGAAGGTCAGACAGGCCCAAGGCACAGGGCCTGACCAGATAAAGACAGACAGAAAGGCCTATCTGCAATCCACAGCCCGCTCTGGGCTTGCAGACCGAGCAGCTTCTAAGGAGTCCAGTGACCCAGGGAGGAGTCCCCACGGTCACCCCGGAAGCATAGGAGGGGGGTAGAGGGGAGGCCACAGGGAGAGCAAGAGGGCCATTTACCTGCAAATCCAAGGCAGGCAAACAATGATGCCTGGAGGTGGACAAGGAGAAACACCCTAGAACAGCACCAAGGAAATGCCAAGATGGCCGGTGTAAACTTCTCTGCAAGCAACTATGACCACCTGCAAGTCCAAGTCATTCAGTGCCTTGTACAAGTATGAGGGTATGGGCCAAGATGCAGCTCAATGGTGAGCACTCATCTAACATACTCAAGACCCTGGCTTCTGTCCCCAGCACCCCAAAACAAAAACACAAACAAGGCATGCTGGGTGCAGTGCCACCCACCTGTAACCCCAGCTACAGGGGAGGCTGAGGCAGGAGGATCACAAGTTTGAGGTCAGCCTGGGCCAATCAGCCCTGTCTCAAAACAAAAAAAAAGGCTGGGTGTGCAGCTCAGTGTAGGGAAGATCCCCAGCCTGCACAAGGGCCTGGGTACAGCAAATACAAAAACAAAACCCCACAAAGATACAGTGAATAAAACTGAGCAGATGCAGCAGGGCATGGTGGTGCACGCCTGTAATCTCAGCACTCAGGAGGCTGGCTGAGAGTTCAAGACCAAGCTGGGCGTGGTGGCGTATGCTAGTAATCTCAGCACTAGGGAGGCTGAGGCAGGAGGATCACTGTGACTTCGAGGCCAGCCTGGGCTACAAAGTGAGCTCAAGGTCAGCCTGAACTGCAGAGCGAGACTCTGTCTCAAAAAGATAAAACAAAACAAAACAGGGGCTGGGGATTTAGCTCAGTGGCACAGTGCCTACCTGGCAAGCGCAAGGTCTTGAGTTCAATTCCTGGTGGCGGGGGGGACCAAAAGCAAAACAAAACAAACAAAAGACCAATAAAACAACAACAAAACAAGAAAAACAAAACCACCTGAGTAAAACTGCGGTACTTAGGAGAAAAATTTAAAAGATAAAATTCACAGCTAACTTGGCAACTTTGAAAGGGCTCAGAGAAGCTTCAAACCATGAACACTGCCTGTCCTTTACTCTGCTGCTGGCTAACTTCTTAACTGAAATGCTTCTCCACACTTCTTTTTATCCTACCTGCTCTGATGGTGCGAACCTGAAGGCTGGGGCTAGTCCTCTGTAAAGAGCACTGGCCAATCAACAAGCACAGCAGTCAGCTTATCATGACAGGGACAACACCTGTGTCACTCACTGAACAGTTTCAGAAGATGATCCAAGATTGGCACCTGACACAGTGCCTAAGAAATGCCGATTCAAGTTGTTCTGATTTTGCTTTTGAGACTGGTTCTTGCTGAGTTGCTTGGGTTTGGCTCAAACTCACAATCTTTCTGTCTCAGCCTCCTGCCAGGACCTCCTGCTGGGATGGCATGCCCGCACCACGATGCCTGGCAAGTTGCTGATCTATATTATGTGGCTGTTGAATAGCTGATCAAGCAACAATAAAAGGGAACAAACTGCTAGTCACGGTGGTGCCTGTCGGCTGTCACCCCAGCTGTTTGGGAGGCTGAGGCAGGAGGATCTCAAATTTAAGCCCTGTGTAGGCAGCTAAGCAAGAGCCATTCAAAATAAAAAAAAAAAAAAAAAAAAAGGGCCGAGGATGTAGCTCAGTGGTAGAGCGCCCCTGGGTTCCACCCCCAATGCCACACACACACACAAAAAATCAATCAGTCAACCCATCAGTCCCTATCAATATGCAGTAATGAGAAGCAAACAAAAAAGGAGCAAAGTACTGATTCAGTCCACAACGGATTCTGCAGAGCAGCTCGTAGTGACAGTGCCCGCCTCAGAGGAAGCATGCTGTGTGGCACAGACAAATGGCAGATCAGGGGCTCCAGGGATGGGGTACCGGCAGTGCCATGGTGACGCTGCCAGGGCTCTACCTGTGGGGTAAAGCCCTGCAGAACCTTGCACCCACACTGGGGGCCTCCCACCCATGGCAGGTACAGGCATGGCACCATGGGGCTGGGCAAGGGCACAGTGACTTCCCTCAAACTATCTGGGACTCCGCCACAATGCTGATGTCAGTCATTATCCCGAAGGAAGGGGGCTGTGCCCCTATGGGCTCACGAAAGTACAGAGGCTTCAGGAGAGACAGTTCTGCGCTGGTGACCTCGGGAGGTCAGCGGCCACCATCAGACCCTGCCCCTCGGGCTCTCCCTGCCCAGGCCCTTGCTCTACAAGGGCAGAAAGGGGGACCTGAGCTCAGCCTGGGGACCCAGATACCCATGCCTCACCGCACACGGCCCTGCCCGCCCAAGGACCCACACGCCTTCTCCAGACACACGGCCCTGGTTCAGAGACGTGCTGTCACCTGTGGTGAGCCATACCAAGAAAGAGGCAGTGCAGGTCTTAAGGCTCCCAGCTCCCTATTGTCTCTGGGGCGAATCACAGAGCAGGGACCAACAACGCCACCTCCCTCCAGGCCAGAGCCAAAGGGGATCCCTGAGCCCTCGGATCTACTGCACTAGGGGGACTAGGCCAGGAGCAGCCACAAACATCAATCCACACAAGTCCACCGGGTCCCTGACTGCACCACGCCAGGCATCTGGGGAGGCAGAGCCGCAGCCAGGCAGCAGTGTCCCCGAGCCCACACACCATGGCTTTGGCCATGGGGGTTTGTGGAAGACCCAGAAGGGAGAGGACACTGCGGCCCAACTGGGCTGAGGCCAGGGGACGAGGGGAACAGTGCAGAGTTCTGAGCCCCTGCTCCCAGCAAGAAGCATCACCCCCTCTCTTCTGTGGGCTGCTTCCGGGGTACAGGGGGCCTCGGGGATTTCCATGCCCCAGGGAGCGCCTGGCCAGCGCAAGGCCACTTCCTCAGCCAGAAGGGAAAGGCTAGGGAGGAGGGGCACTGCCATGGTCCTCTCTGAGGGTACAAAGACACGAGACCGCTCACCACCCTCAGGATACCTGTCCTTCTGCTTGAGCCCTGTGGTCACCCCTGGGGTCTCAGGCTCAATTCCCATCCCATCCCATCCCATCCCATCCCAGAGACAGAAAGGACACAGCGGGGAGACAGACCCTGAGCCCCCAGGAAGCTATGCAGGCCCAAAAGGGGCCGGAGGTACATGGACTCTGACCCAGGCCTCAGGGCACGGCTGTGCCCACCTTTTCACCTGCACACTGACCTCTGCTCACCACCCTCCAGCTTCCTGCTACCCATGTACAGAGGGCCCTCCCCGAAGGGCTGCTCGGCCCGCCTGAGGACCCCCTCACACCACATGCCCTAGCCGGCCTCTGCCCACCTCCCTGGGCCCGCACTTCCTCTGTCCCGCCCCAAGCAGCCCACAACCCTGCTACTCAGCACCAGGTCCTGTCACCTTCCTGCCACCAACTCTCTGGCCCTCAGCCCTGCCCATCCAGCCCACTACGGGCTCTGCCACTTTAACTGACTTGCTCGGTTTGCCTGGCAAGCTTCCGTTTCAGGGAGCCAAGTCTCGGACCTCAGGAAGCCCCCTCAACTGCAGGAACAGGATGGCTGCTCATCTCAGGGCCAGGCTCTGTACACAGCAGGCACCTAACACATCCATCAACAAAAACAGCCAGGGTCCCAGCATTCGGGAGGCTGAGGCAGGGAGGATCATGAGTTTGAGGCCAGCCTGCACTACCTAGTGTGTTCAAGGCCAGCCTGTACTATATACTGAGACCCTGTGTCAAAAAGCCCAACAAAACATGCAGGGAAGCTAGGTGTGGTGATACACACCTGTCATCCCAGTACTCTGGGAAGCGGTGGCAGGAGGGCTGCAAGTTTGAGCCCAGACAACTTAGTGAGACCCTGTCTTAAAATAAAAAATAAAAAGGGAGCCAGGTGTGGTGGCGCATGCATGTAATCCCAGCACTCAGGAGGCTGAGGCAAGAGGATCGCTGTGAGTTTGAGGTGGGCCTGGGCTACAAAGTGAGCTCAAGGCCAGCCTGAACTGCATAGTGAGACCCTGTCTCAAAAAGACAAAAAAAATCAATCAATCAATCAATCAATCAATAAAAAAACAGAAAGGGAGGGAATTGTAACTCAGTGCCAAGGCCCTGGGTTCCATCCCCAGCATTGGGGAAGCTAGGAATCATGGGGCTTCTGAGGAGATGGCAAGCTGCTCTGGCCCAAGGGGACACTGTGCATCAATGGGGCTCATCTGCCAGGCCACCCTGTGCGAGCCGAGCCCCCCAACAATCACTCCACAATGCCCCAAGGGAAGCTCAGTCCTACCTGAACCTCCAAACTGGGCTCCAGCGAGGGCGGTGGGCCGGCCCTTCCCATTGGCCACAGGCAGTGGGAACATCTGCAGGGACAGAGAGGGACAGCAGTGAGTGTGGGCAGACAGGAGCCCAAAGCTATAGTCCTTGTGCCTCATGGGGTGTGAGGCAGGGGTAGAGCTCTCTGGAACACCGGGTCTGAGGTCTGAGCAGGTGTGCCTCAGCCCAGCCCAGCCACAACCTCAACTCCAAGGCTGCCATCCCGAAAGGGGGTTCAGCCAAGGAAGCCAGCGACCAGGGTGGGGAAAGGCAGAGATGCCAGGACAGTGTGGAGAGAGGACCTGGGTGTCCATCCCACCCACCCGCAGCCATGGTGTTCAGGGCAACCTTAAGACCCTGTGGGAAACCGGGTATGGTGGTACACACCTATAACCCCATCACTCAAGAGGCTGAGGCAGGAGGACTGCTGCCAGGCTGGGCTACACAGTGAGTTCAGGACCACCCTGGACTGCACAGTGAGACCCTGTCTCAAAAAAGAAGACTGCAGGTGGCAGCCACCGTGGAACACACCTGTCATCTCAAGTGCTCTGGGAGGCTGAGGCAGGAAGTTTTAGAGTTTAACCCCAATATTGGCAACTTAGCAAGACTCTGTCTCAAAAGATAAAGCAGGCTGGGGATATAGCTCAGCCCCAAGGCCCTGGGTTCAAACCCAGGGAGAAAGAAAGAGAAGACCTAGACGACTATTTCCTCGGGAGGGGTGCCTACACAGGCAGTGATACAAGTCCTCCTTCCTCCCCAGCTTAAGAAAGCGAGTGCCACACTCAACAGGACCCTCGGGCCCCAGCGCCTCCCAGGGCTGTGAGTTCAAGGAAGGTGGTTACAGGTCAGGTGTCCCGTGTGGTCTTCAGTGAGCATGCCACACTCCACAGGTCAAATGTGGGTTGTCTGTCAGAATGGGAAACTGAGGCTCAGAGCAACAGGTGGGGATGGAGCGCAGATGTCCAAAGGAAGCTGGAGATCCGGGAGGGCAGCACTCGCTTGGTAGCTGAGGGTGTGGGCCTGTCACTGGCCACCTGCCCCCTCCCTCTGGCTCACTGTCCCCAGGGCGCTAAGTCCCTAAAGATTAAACAGCTTAGAGCTGCATTAACCGGAAAGTCCCAACATCAACAAACGCTTTCACCACAGAAAAAACAAACCTGGCCCAGCCCTGCCCCAGGGATCGTTTTGAGAGGTTCAGTCTGCTCAGGGCCTCAGTGGTTACTCGGCTGAAATCGGGCCGAGGGCTGCCTGGGACAAGCCAGCCCTGCTGCTCCCAAGACCTTCCCAGGACAGCCAGGAGGGATATGCTCAGCATCCTTGTCCAGGACTCAGTGGTCTCAGAAAGTACAGTGCTGCATTCTCCTGAAGGGGAAGGCGAGCCCACTCTGGGGTATCCAGGCTGCAGTCAGGTTCTTTCTAGGGTGCCGTCTTGCAAATCCTATGGTGCTCATGTGTCAAATGGGAACTGTCCCAGCTGAGAAAAGTGGCTCTCCCATCGGGACACTGAGGCCAGCGCTGGGGGAGGGTCTGGCCTGAAGCACCCAGACCCTTTGGGGAAGCAGATGGATCCCACTTCTCTCTGGGTCCTCAACGGCAGCGGAAGCTCCACTGACCTGGCATTTGTCACCGGGTGGGGGTGGGGGTGCTGGGCCATGTCCTGTGGGCCCTGGGGGCCCCATGATCAACTGAGCCCACTCCCCTCTCTCAGAGCCTGTTTCCTCTTCTGCTAAATAGACTGAGGGCTCTGGCCACATGGCGCATTGTGAAAATACACAAGCCTCCTGCGCCACCTGCCTAGGGGTGCTGGGTGTGAATACCCAGGGGTACAGGGACTGCCCTAGACCCATGGAGGGCGTCATTTAGCTGCCAGCCCAGCGCCCACTGGTCCCTAACACCTTCACCCCACCTTTAGCTGGTAGCAGTGGGGATGGAACCCAGGGCCTGCATGCTGAGCTGCGTCCCCAGCCCTTTTGTTTCATTCTTTGAGACAAGGTCTTGCTCATTGCCCGGGTAGGGCTGACACCTGCGATCCCCCGGCCTGAGCCCCGGAGAGCTGCGAGGACAGGCGTGCGCCACACCTGGCTCTGTTTTCCCTTTTCGCCAGGAAGCTCAGGTCCAGGTTGAAACACTGACAGGACTTTAACGGTGTGGGTTTTCTCCTTTGCAGACTTTGTTTTTTGAGATAGGGTCTATGTAGTACAGACTGGGCTTGAACTCACTGTATAGTTCATACCACCCTCAAACTCTCAGTGGGCCTCCTGCCTCAGTCTCCCCAGTGCCAGGATTACAAGCGTGCACCGCCATGCCCGGCTCTCCTTTGCACTGAATTTGTGCTTTGTTTTGGAACTGGGAATTGAACTCAGGACCTTGGGCTTGCGCTTGTGACACTGAGCTACATCCCCGGCCCTGCACTGACTTTGACCGTCCCAATTTTCCTACCTTCTGTGAACCTGGTCCCTTTTAGTAGTTCCTTTTCCATCTTTGTCTCAGACCAAAAGGCCCGATTCCGTGAAGCAACTCAGACCATTGTCCTGGGCCAGGTGCTCAGTGCGGCAGGCAGGCAGGGACCTGAGCAGAACCAGGCGGGGGGCTGCCCCTGCTCGCCGACCTGGCCAGTAAAGTTTCCCCTTATCGCAGATGGGGGCACAGGGAAGGGCTGGCCTCAGTTTCCCCTCGGGTTCTCACCTAGGGCCTGGGGAGGCAGGGGACCCTCTGGGCAAGAGAGGGAGTGATGGTAGAGGCTGCAGGGTAAACTCTGCCCCCCAAGCTGGTCTGTTCCGGCCCAATAGACTGTGACTTGTCAGTTTAACAAAAAAACACCCGAACAGTGCTCCTGGTTACTCAGCCGGGGAGGCAAAAATAAAACAGGGCTTCAAAAATACCAGCATGGCCCTTCCGGAGCACGGCTGCTCAGCGCTGGCCCAGGCGTGTTTTTCCGCAGGGTTTTGGTCTGAGGGCCTCATGCTAGGGAGGGTGTCACTCAGACCGGAAGTGCCCTGGGCCCTTTCAGACCCCAGTGGCACGGGCCAGGGCACATGGACTGGGATGTAAGGTAACATCCCCATCTGAGTCAGAGGAAAAAACTACCATTCTTGGGTTTTTCAAGGAAACGCTAACAACCCCTCTGCCACCTACCACAGGGGCCCCACTGCACAGGTGGGTAAACTGAGGGCCTGGGGCCTCCACAATGGTCTCGGCCTCCTGGTACCCACAAGGGCTCCAGCTTCTCAGCCTCACCAGGTTCAGTGGGGCTGTGTGACCCTGGGAGCCGGCACGCAGAGCACACGTGTCTATGACTGGAAATGGGTGACTCAGGGACAGGGCAGCCAGGGCCCCTGCTGTGACCCCTACTCCAGGGCCCCCACTCGCCTGAGCTTCCGGCAACTGAGTCCAGACAGCCATCAAGTGTGACACGGGATTATCCGTATCAGCTCCTTCCTCCTCGCCCACAGAGGGTGGGAGCACTGGCCCCTCACCAAGGGTCCCCTGCGTGGGTCAGCTCGAACCAGGGATTCCCTGCTTCCCCCCGCACCCCCTGCAGTGGAGCCAGAGACCCACAGCTACGGTCTGCTCACACAGCCAGCCACGGGCTCAGCCCCACGCACAAGCTGGAGGCAGTTCCTCCTCCTCTCTTTGGGCCTCAGTCTCCCCATCTATAAAGTGCAAGATGCACCCATTCTATGGCTGAGCAAAACCGTGGTTTTGCTCACTCTCCCACAGATACGCCGACTCCCCTGACTCCACCCCAGGGACCTCCCACTCCAAAAGCTGAGGGCTCCGATACCTCCGCAGGGTGCCTGAGGCGGGCATTGCTTTCCCCTTAAAAACTTGTCAGGCCAGGGGTGTAGCACAGTGGCGAACACTTTCCTAGAATGCGCATACCACAAAAAGAAAAAAAGAGTCAAAGAGCCGGTGGCGGCACAGGCCTGTCAGGCCAGCACCCTGGGAAGCTGAGACACGAGGATTCCAAGCTTCAGCCCAGCCTAGGCAACTCAGTGAAACCTGTCTCAAAATAAAAAAGGATTGGGGATCTAGTTGAGTGAAGGCCCTAGGTATGCTCTCCAGTACCAAAAATTAAAAACAAACCAAAGAATGGTGGAGGCATTGGGAAGAAAAAGAATTCTATGGGACAAACATGATTATACCTAAACTGTATCAATAAAACCCGACTGAAGAAAAAAGACACTGCCGAGACTCGCAGGGGGGTGGGGTGGGCCGGGGAGGGAGGCCAGGCTGCCCAGCAGGGAGGGCTAGGCTCACCATGCTGAAGTCCAGGAGATCGCTCAGCTCCTTGTCGGTGCCCACTGGCGCCATCCTCTGGGGCTGGCTCATCCTTTGGCAGGAACCAGGGTGGACCCCCAGGCCTAGACACAGCCCTGCGTGGTGACAGGGACAGGGCAGACCCAGGGAGATGCAGGAATGCATAGACACACACAGAGAAATAGGGGGGGAAAAGAAGATTTGAGTAACTGCGGCCCCAGTGCACAAGGTGGAATAGGGCCGAGGGTCTGGGGAAAGTGGGTCCCCAAACCAAGTCCCTTCCTGATCTGGAATGCCCAGGTCTGGGTTCTCTGGAGCCCCCTCCCTAGAGCCCAGGGGAGCCTAACAATGGGGGAGGATATAAATGTCAACTCCTCCTAGGAACCCCAGGGATTGGGACCCACTTATTAAAATGGAAGCAGGGGGGTCACAATCTCTCAGTTCCAACGACCCACATGCCACCCGCCCCCTAGGGAGGGCTGGCCAAGGACCTGCCCCAAGGGAAAGTGGTGGACTCCCCAGCGGCTGTCACAGCACTCTGAAGACCCGGACCCCTAAGTGCCACGCCAAGGAAATCCACAGGTCCAAGGGTTGCAAAGCACCCCCTCCAAAGAAAGCTTAATTGAGAAGGGAGGGGACAGGCCCTGGCTGCACCCCCTCCCCAGGAAAAGCTTCCCTCCACCTCTCCCCTCCTCCTCCTGCCCACCTCCCCCAAAATCTAACTGAATCCAGAAAAGAAAAGAAAAAAAAAAAAAAAAAAAAAAAAAAAACCGAGGTTGTCTTATTGTCACGATGTATCCGGGAATTATTTTTATGCAACTTTGAAAAACATCCCTCGAGTCCTCCCGCCCCTGGCAAGAGTGGGGGTCCCGGGGTTCCCCTTGAGGTCGGGGCTGGGGCGCTCTATCCTAAAGCAGTGAGGGCGGAGAGCCACCTGCCAAGCCTTATCCCACCCCAGGAAGGGGCGAGAAGTGGGGCCTCCCTCCCGAAAAACTTTTCCCAGGCTTCCCCAGGCGGGGGCGGCCCGAGAAACCGCAGCGGCTGGGGGAGGGGAGGGGGTTCCGAGGGCGAGGGAGCCCCAACTTCACAAGCGTAGGAAGCCCCGTTTGCCAACTCAGACACCGGGGTGTGAAACAGGCGCCCCGGTGCAACTCCCCCTCCTACCCTGTTACTTTTTTTTTTTCTTTTTTTCCTTTTCAGAGGGCGTGTGAAACTGACTTTTTTTTTTCAGTTGTATGAAACCGCACTTTTTTGTGGGTAGTTGAAACCGATTTTCAGGCTAACTTGGGCCGGGTTAAAAAAACGAGCTCGTGGATGGGACGTTAAAGATTTCTGGGGTATCTTAAAAACTTTGGAGGAACTAGGAACAGACTTGAGTCAGGTTTGAGACCAGTTCAGGGGGCGCAGCCTGAGGTGGGTTTTATCGGGGGAGACCCCCCTCCTTCCCCAGCAGCCGGTGCGTCCCGGGAGCCCTTTGAAGCTTCCCGCGCCCCCGCAGTGTCCTCGACCCCACGCCGCCGCGCCCCGCACTCACGCGGAGCAGACGACCCCGCCTCGGGTCCCCCGGCTCCCCGCGGGTCCCCTCGGCCCGGCCCTGCACCCTGCGCCCTGCGCCTGCGGAGCGCGCGGCAGCGCCTTCCCCGCGTAGACAAAAGGCCTCTTCTCCTCCCTCGCTCCCGCTCCGAACTCCAGCCCCGGCCGGGCCCCTCCCTGGGGAGCGGGCGCCCCGGGGACCCCCTCCCGCGTTGGACCTGGGGATCCCACCCCCCGCTGCAAAAGTTGGGAAACCTCTCGCGCGCCCCCCGCGCCGCGCAAAGTTTCCCGAG